GCAGTGTCCCTGTAGCATGCTCTTGTTAGGGCTTTAGGGAATAGACCGAGAAGGGGAATAGCTGGGTCAAATGGTGGTTCCATTCCCAGCTTTCCGAGAAATCTCCATACTGCTTTCCAAATTGGCTGCACTAATAAAATTAAATTAAAATCTTAAAATGTAGTAACAATTCCAGCTATCTGGGTAACTGAGGTAAGAGATCACAAGTTCAAGGCCCACCTGGGCAACTTAGCAAGACCCTACCTGAAAATAAAATTTTAAAAAAGGTCTGAGGATATAGCTCACTGATAGAGCTTGCCTAGCATGCATGGGCCATGAGTTCGATTCCCAGCACCAACACCAAAAGAAAAAAAAATGTAATAGCAAGATATCAAACAAACAAAAGAGAATAGCAGGCCTGGGGATATAGCTCAGTTGGTAGAGTGCTTGCTTTGCATGTATCAAGGCCAAGGATTCAATCTCCAGCACGAGAGAGAGAGAGAGAGAGAGAGAGAGAGAGAGAGAGAGAGAGAAGCAGTAGAAAGGAAAGAATAGAGCTGGAGTGATTGAAAGGCAGAGAGTCCAGTAAGAGACTGTCATGATCTGGGATAGAAGTGGTGTGGACTCTGAAATCAAGATGAATCACATTGTGTATCCAAGAACCACATGACTACTCTGGTAGTCCACAAGTTGGAAATTAAATGAAGAGAAAAAGAGTTTTGCCACTTTGAGTTCTCTTTGCTTAGTTGCAGTTTTTTATACTAGCCCAGGTCTAATCCATGGTATCCTCTTCTCTGTATTACTCCTAGATCACTTTTCTTCTGTAGATATTAACTTTACCTGTAGACAGTTGTGATATGTTGATTAATTGGATGTTCTCTTTCAAACAGAAAAATGAAAACCGATTCTATCTGAAGGAAGTGAATGTCAGCTTGAATTTGGCTAATGGCTCTGGTAAGCAAAGCATTGGTTTAAGGGAGAAGAGTGTCAGTTATACTGAAGGACTAGAAACTATACACGTCTTATTATCAAAGAGTGCCTTATTCAGTGGAACCTTGTAAAAAGTATACCTTGACCACCACTTAAAATATGTAACTTTGAATATTTGAGTTGTGATATTCTATATGTTGCTATATCTCATCTTTTCAAACATGGTAGTTAATAGTTAAGGATGCAAATGATTTTTAAGCTGTAGAAACATCTATAGAAAGATGAGGGAGGTAGTTTATGACTGTAATCCCAGCTATTTATGTGGCTGAGTCAGTAATATTGCAAGTTTAAGGCCAACTTGGGCAACTTAATAAGACCTCTGTCAAAATTAAAGAGAAAGGGCTAAGGGTTGGGGAGGTAGCTCAGTGGTAGAGCACTTGCCTGGCATATCTGAGGCCCTAGGTTAAAATCTCAGTACTGCCAAAAGAAAAAAAAAATAGTGGTGGTAAGACTTGCTTTTTGTTGGTAGACCATGTTTCCTAAGCTCCCATACTTTACTAAAAAACACTGAGAACTGTCCATTTTTGATGTTGATAGGATAAGAAGTTACTAACCTGTATTTTTTTTTCCTGGAAAGTTTTCAGCATTGCAAATAACAACCTTAGCTACTGGGATGCTCCTCTGGGAAGTTCTTATATGTGCCACAAAGAGCAGACTGTTTCAGTATCTAGAACATTTCAGATAAATACCTTTGAATTAAGAGTTCAGCCTTTCAATGTGATGGAAGGAAAGTATTCTACAGGTAAGAATCAAGCAAGTTTTATTAATAATTATGTTCTTACATTGACTGATAGGTGGCTTTTTCTTTGAGTCATGGAAATTTATATATTTAAATAGAGAAATACGAACTCTCCTCTTCGTGACTCTACGATGTAGAGTTCTTATGGCAATGGACGAGTTGTATAACTATATTTGGCCCATCATTTTGCTCAAGCCAAATGTTTTTTATGATCTGAAAACTATTTGGAGCTTTAAGTGAGCTTACTTAAAATATAGTTGCGTCTTGGTTTCAGTTTGGAAGGGATGGTACCTTGGAGCAGCAGCTTTGAGTATCTTATCTGCCTTCTTGGGGCCATCTTCTCATTGGAAACATTTTCCTACCTGAATGAAAGCAGTTTGGTCTGATCTCAAGAAACAAAAATAAAGAGGGATAGCAAAGCCTCAAATATTGCGAACTATGTTATTAGCAGCCAGAATTGTCTGACGAGTCCTCAAAGCATGTACCAGTGCAAATGAGGCTTTTTGAAAATCAACTCAGGGCTAATGATGGCATTTATAAGATTTTTGATGAAAGTTCTTTGAAGAACTTTCATTATAACATGTTCATGTAAATGTGAAAGATGTATTTGGCATTCACAAGATGAAAATTTGCATAAAGAAAACAAAGTACACAAAATTCCTTAAGTAACTTGTCCTTTTAAACCAATTACTTAAAATTGGAGGTTTGTGCATCACAGATTTGCTGAGCAGAGCTATTCCAGTCATCAATATCCTTTTAAACAATTAATTCTATGGTTTAGAAGGAAATGTAGAAGCAGTGCTTAAAAGTGAATATGCTGGATAGGAATGTGGTTCAGTGGTTAAGCACCCCTGGTTTCAATCCCTGAAACAAACAAACAAACAAAAAAGTGAATATGCTGTGAGCCATTCAACTACTTCTTCAAAGGTGATGAATACCTTGTCAATAAATGGGCTCTTTACCCTGCCATTCTTGTGAGTAGGGGTGTTAATCACAACTTTAAGAGTTATTTTTAAGAATTCATTTTTTCTTTTGTTGGTTTTACTTATGTACTTCATTTTTTGATCCTTTAGTAACTTTATTTTTGGAGTCTTAATCTAGCTCCCCTATATCTTCACTATAATTTTAGATCCAGATTTGTGTTTAGAATTTAAAATCTTTTTCAGTGTTATTATCAGTTAAGGTCTATTTATCTAGTCAGTTATAATATAGATGAGCTGTTCTTTTTCTTTAAATTTCTGGTTTTTATGTGCATAGAATTTAAAATGTCACCCAAAGAGGTATATAGCATTTAATACTATTAAATGCATAATTTATTTGTGGAACTAGGTTCTTGGCTGTGGGTACCTATAAATACAGCACATAGGTAATACTTGAGTGTATATGGGGAGGAAATAGAATTGCAATAAGGTAGAAGAGTGTTGATTGGATTTTGTTGGATCAGACTATTCTCCAGAAATAGAAAAATAGTCCCTGTAGGCTGCTAGCCTGGACCAAATTGATAAGAAAGGTAGTAACCACACTCAGGTTAGTAAGAGGTCCCAGTTTCTTGACTCATGTAGCCACTAAATCATATATTCTCAATCAGAGATCTGAAAACTTTTTCTTAAAAGATCCAGACAGTATTTTTTAGGCTTTGGGGTCACATTGTCTTTGTCTCAACTATTCAATCTGTCATTATAACATGAAAACAGCCATAGGTAATACATAAACAGCTGAGTGTGACTGTGCTCCAATAATGCTTTTTTAATGGACACTAAAATTTGAATTTCATGCAACTTTCATGTGTCACAGAATATATGTCTCTCCCACAACCATTTAGAATTATAAATATGATTTTTAGCTCTTGGGCCAGATTTGGTCATGAACTGTAGTTGACTGACCCAAATATAGAGGAACTCTAAAGCCAGCCTGGTTCTTCTAATCTTGTAATACCCTGCTATCCAGTTTCCCCCAGAGACAATCACAGTACCACTGGGAGTCTAATCTGGCTATGTAGAAATAGGCTAAATTAGCTCTCTTAATTTCTGATAAAGTGATACTCCTGTTTTGGAAAGAACTTGGAATGTAAACAAATACACAACCATACACACACGCATGTATACCGTGTAATCCAGTGTGTGTTTATAGACATAAATGAATTTATACATATTCATGTGTATGAATTCATATATACACATAAGCATAAATATAAAAAGACAAGTTTTAGGATTTTAGTTTTAGAATAGCCCATAATTTTCTGTAGCTTTATCATAAAAATATAACTGTCATAATTAAAATTGATTTTGTAAGCATTTCTGACTTTTGAATCAACATCTTTTACTTTTGAACATTCTTTTTTTGATTATACTCATTATTTGTTACACACTTTTTCTCACCTACAGCCCAGGAATGTTCGCTGGATGATGACACCATTCTAATACCAATTATAGTTGGTGCTGGTCTTTCAGGCTTGATTATCGTTATAGTGATTGCTTACCTAATTGGCAGAAGAAAAAGTTATGCTGGATATCAGACTCTGTAACACTAATCCACATGTGATCTCTGTTATCAAACAATAAAGCAAGTACAAGTTCCAACCTGCAATACTGTTCAATTTAAGGTATATTTAGTTGTAGTCCTGCTCTTAGAATGGGTGGTATGAGAGATTTTTGAACTTAAACAAAAAAATTCTATAAACTATAAATTAGCCATGTGATATTGGTTTCCCAACCAAGGAATAGTTATTTCTATAGTAAAAGACACATGCAAAATCACCTGTATTATAGGTTCTATTTTACTGTCTTGAATTAGTATTTCAGTGTTTTCACTTATGTATATCTGACTAGAAATATACAGCTTAGGAAAAACAATTTTTGAAAAGATATCTTTTCCTTGCATGAGGTTGAGTTGGGACAACATATTCTATAGTGAATTTGTACTTGCTCCTTTTTGCTTTTTTTTTTTGTGTGTGATTTTGTTTGCAGGTTAACTTAGCTACTTTGGCATTGCTGCATATTTGATCCATGAAAGAGATGCTAGTAGATTTGAACAGGGCCTAGTATATTATGTTCTTACAAATGAATGCTTTTCTCATGCTTTTTGAATACATTTGTACTTAATGTGGCTGTAATGACAAAAGACACAAAAGCTTTTTCAATTTTAGAATAGGTGTTAATCTTATTGTTTAATGCTTTTTTTTCAAAAAACTGGACGTTTCAATCTTTTAAATTGCAAGATGCAAGACTATTCCAACTGGGCATTTCAATCTATTTTTTAGGTGCTTTAAAGATAATTGCTAGGCAGTGCCAATTGAGGGCATTAGTCTTTTGTACCCGTAAATTGGCCTCTACATGTAGTACTAAAATTAATGTAGATTTCTCTTTAACCTTCCAGTCTTCCTTGTTGGTGGTAATGTATTTTATTCTTTTCTTTTTCTCAAAGAAGAAATGCCAGTATGTCCTAGAACCTAGATCAAGTGCACTTACACTTAGAAAATAACTTGTACTCAACCCAAAAGTCTTGGTCTTCCCTCAGTCTATTAAAATGTTATTCATTTCCAGTTTGCATTGATTGCTACAACATTTAGTAATTTGGCTTTTACATTTAAATGGTTCTGTGCTAATCAAAACTTACATTGTTATTGTTCATTATGGTAGAATCATTATTAATTCATATACTTTGTATTCAGTTTTGTGATGGGAGAGATGTACCAATTGTCTATTTACTGTGCACCACCTAATGCTTATGTAAGAAAGCAAACTTTTTCAGCATATATAGTTAACGCATCAAGTATTCCTTGCAGATTCTGCACGCACATGCGTGAGCACGCTCACACACACACACACAACACACACACACACACATTGGTATGGCTGAGCAAATTATTTTTTAAAATATCAACGTGCAGCCATATGTGCAAGGTTCCTGTGGTTATTTGGGGAGGGCAGATTATATGCCTCCCCATCAGTAGGAAATGAAGAACTAGTACTGGGATTACTATTCAATGTTGGAGTGCCTGCCTGCATGCACAGGGCCCTGGGTTCTACACACAGTACTGCAAAGACAAAAACAAATAAAAAAATGAGGAACTATCTGGGTTCCAAAATTTTGATGTTGAATACATCAGTACATACATGCACGCATATATAGATAATTGCATGTTAGCATGTTTATGTCTGTAACTGTCATTAGAATGATAAATAATTTCTCTCACTTAAATTTGCTGTCTGTTTAGCCTGAAAATCTTACTGGCTCAGAATCAGATTCCTGATTGACTTAACCCCTCTCCTAGAGCTACTTTGAGCTGAATTGCCAGCTTAAATTGCTTCCTAAAGACTAAATCTGATTTTTAAAAATTATTTTTTTATTTGAAATATGTTTTAGTATAAAATTGTTAATCTTATAAGAGTGGATAATACTTTTAAGAATGTGGGCCTTAGAGATTTTTCATGAGTCAAAACAGCAGTTTTAAAAACAAAAGCAAAAACAAAAACTTAGAAGCACAAGTGGGTGGCATTGGCTTAATGCTGTTAATGTTTCTAAAAGTTTCTACCTTTAGATTATATATCTGATTCATATTAAAATACCTCTAATAAGCACTGTTTTATAGAAAATCTGACTTAAGTGAATATTTTTGTATTCTACATGGGCCAGTTTATATTCTGCTATTTACACTATGATTTCCTATAGCCACACGTTCTCTGTATTTTTTGTAGTGTTGTTGTTTTGTTTTACTGGGTTTGCACCTTGATGCTAAAATTCTATTTGGTTTGGGGTGTTTTTCATGTTAAAGCATTTGTATAAAGAAACTGGTCCATGTAAATACTTTCCATGTTTTTTTTCTCAATGTTTAAACCACTAGCTATTGTATGGTATCTCTCTTTAGATATTTGCCTGTTTGCTCAACATTGCTTCTAAAACAATAAAGATTCTTTTATTTCTTAAGGAAATTTGCTCACATTTTTTCCCGTTGGTTAAAGTCAAGATTTTATATACTACACAATCGCAATTTCTTTCAAAAGAAAAATCTTTGTAAATGCTTAGAAGTAGAAATATTCTGTGTAGTATTCTCTGGAAGAAGGGGCATACACAGGCCTTGACAGATGCTAAACTGGCTACAGAATAAGAATTACCTTGGAATTGTGTTTTTAGTAAAAACACATACTTTATTACAAATACACTTCCCAGGTTTTCCCAGGCTCCAACCCTAGAGTATGTCACTTAGCAGATCTGGGATGAGGGGTGTGTGTGTGTGTATGTGTGTGCGTGTGCGTGCGTGTGCACATTTCCCTGCTGAATCTGATGCATAGTCAGAGAGGGACCCAGAAATCTAGAATATTTATTTCATAGTAAAAGCTTCAGAGTATCTCTTCCTACACTTCTCAATTCCTAAAGTGAGACCAATATTTCATATCTGTACATAGCAGCTTTTCATAGCAGCTATCCAAAGTGAGCTATTGATCTGAACCAAAGTAGGATTGTGTGCAATCCATCTCTTAACTCATCTTAAAATACTTCAATCTTCCAATTTCCAGATAGTTTCCTGGTCACTGTAGTAATCACACAAGAAAACTAAGCTGGTAATTTTTCTCTGGGTTACCCAGTTAAGCCATATGAATGCTGTTAGTCATGGCTCCCAATACTGCTATTAGCTACCATGTGATTTTGGCCAGGTTGCTTCACTCCTGGGATCTCAATTTTCTTCATTTAGGGATTGGGGCTTTAAAATCCTGCTACTTTTATTTCTTTGAGTGATAATTTCCATTTCAAAGAAGATAAATATATATTTGAGTATTTTTAGAAGGAATCTGGTAAGAAGTGACTTGTTGTGTATCAAGATCATACTCTACATTCAATAAAGTATTAACCCCTCAGTGTACAGTGCACCTATCTTATTTCCTGCATTTTTTTTTCCAGGAGGAATTCTTATAAGATCAGATTTGTTTTTCTTTCTTTTGGTACTGGGAATTAAACTCAGGGGCACTTTACCACTGATATACATCCCCCAGCCCTTTTTATTTTTTGAGACAACGTCTAAGATGCTTAGAGACTCGCCAAGTTACTAAGGCTGGCCTCAAACTTGTGATCATTTTAACTTAGCCACCCAAGAGTTAGATTTTTAAGATTAATATCATTTCATCTGATTTTTAAGGTTAGATAATGTCAAATTTTCTTGCATTTGTCTGTCTCACTCATCTCCTTTTAGCTACCATGTCTTACCTTGGTAGCTAATTTTCTGCATCAATAACTGTTATATGTTGTCTTTGAAAAGTATAGACATGCATAAGTGGTAGAAGCTTTAAGTATCCTTTCAGCTTTATGTGATTTACTTTGGTTTCAGTATTGATCTAAAAGGTATATAACAAATATATGTCGCATAAGAATGTGAGTCTTAGAGTAGATTCTTAGTGTGTGGTGCTGGGGATTGAATCCTTGGCCTTGGTGCATGCAAGGCAAACACTCTACCAATTGAGCTATATCCCCAGCCCCTCAACTGCTTTTTAAGGGAGTTTTACATTTTGTCATAAATGTATATCTCAGCTTTCCAATTCTTATGCTGAAAATTTTATTTGAAAAATTTCTGAACAGAACATTGAAGATTAACTGTTTATAATCTACTGTTTCAATGAAAGTTTTCATTGAAATTTCATTGGTCATGAAACTTTTAGTCTTAAAAAAATATCCATTGCTTCTGGCTATTAAACTCCTCCATAGATGTACTTTTCCTTTCCCCAGAAATATTTTCAATATGGTATTAAGTGTACATTAGGCAAATAGGTCAGGTCAAAATGACTTTTGGAATGAGAATTTTCTTTTTTCAGGATACAATCCTATTAAATTACTGTTTTCCCAAAATTTCTTTCCATTACCTAAAAAATTTTTAAAGATTGAATTCATAAAATCAATAGTTATTATAAATTAATATTTCACACACTAATTGAGAGCATTTTAAGTAAGTGACAGCATCTGGAAAGATCTTTGTATTAGCGGAATTGCCTTTTTGATCTACTCTGGGAATATTTGTCTTACATGAAAGCCTTATTGGCAGTATTTATGAAAGTCGTTTCAGTACTAGGTCAAATACCCAATTTGGGAAAGAGAGGACTGTGAGTCTGTTGCCAGAATAAGAAATTAATCTACTAATGAATTTTTTAAAATCCAAGAGATATTAAATTCAAAGCATAATACTTTATGATACGTGTCACCTAATAGTTTATAGGCTGAATGGTAATTTGGGAAATTGAAGGGGTGGCACTCACTGAGGACTCTTAACATCATCTATTCACAGCTCACATCTGGCAACCTCAGCTATCTGTATTCTTAACAGAACCAAGTTAAAAAACATCATTGAGCTGGCAGCCAAAGTCAATGTCAAAAAGTCCATAAACTCCGAGGTTGCATCTTGTTCCCAGTTACTGTCCCAGAGGGTTACAGGAAAAGAAAAAGAAAAAAAAAAAGCCTGGCACATTTCTTGAATACAGGCAAACTCAGAATTGCCTTCAGCCTATTCATTCTTATTTTTGACCCAATTCAAATAAACTTAATTGCCTGATTTATCAATCCCTGGTAGATTGCAAGGTAGGAAGAGAACTAGGGCAGTAAGAGGCAAGGAAATGGGAAATAGAAGTGGCAGTTTACCATGTGAGCTCTCTTCTTCCCTTTCCAAGTGTGTGTCCATTTGTACTATTCCTTCCTCTCTCTAGTGTCACTGTAGGTTTTCTTGATTAGTACTTCTGAAATACCATTCCTCTTGCCTCCTAGGAGACCTTATACCAGTCGGCATCTTCAACCTATCATTTGCTAATAGCGCTTTAAACATTTGTCTCATCCTAGAAACATGTAAGTCTCTTCCACTCACCTGCCATCTTTTCTTGTCTTTGTGTCCTCCTTCTAACTACCTCTATATTGCTTCTCTTTTCTTAAATCATTTTAAACTCCTTGAAATGAGCATGTGTTCCTTATCCCATGTTCTCAATTTCCTAACCAATCACTTCCCATTTACTTGTAAATCTTTGGCAATTTGACTCATACCCTTCTACTGTCTATATTCCTAGATTCAATGGACATTTTTCAGACTTCTCTTAAGACTTTGCTATTCTCCTATGCTAATTGAAACTCTCCCTTTCCTTCACTTCAGTGGCACTATTTTCTACCTGTCTTTTCTACTTCTTTTTCCTACTCTGGTCTATCT